TGGCCTCAGGCGTTCTGCCGTCTTGGCCTTTCTTGTACCTGCTCAACAGGTCTCCCGCCTGCCTTGGCAGCCATGCCAACGCAGGATCATCATCTTTGAGCTCTTTGCCGAGCTTCTCTTCCAACCCGCTGCGGAGGACTCGTACTTGACGTTTGACCTCCCTGCAGGCGTTCTCTGCCAGACCATTCGCTTGATGGTCTCCTACTGGCGACTCTTCCGAAACCCAGTCTATGCCGGTTTCTTTCGCTGCTGCCTCTTTCAAGGCTACCACGGATGGCTCACCATCCGATTTGAGAACCACCTTGCGGTGTCCCAAGTTCTTCAAGAAGTTCGCCACGAACTTCACTGCATACGGCGTTGCTCCCTTCGAGTCCACGAAGGTCGCCGCTAAGGACTGTGTCCTCTCATCTTTCACCACGAGGATCGGCTTTACTCGCTCGTCCTCCACACCGCCCCGTGACATGAACGTATAGTCCATTGCCACTGTGGGCACAAGGCTCTTTGCCTTCTGTTCCTCGGACCTCGTCCGATGCGGCTGTCCTACAGCCCGTCCAGCAATGCAATGCCGGCACCAATTCCGATACTGCACATGGCCTGTCGCCTCGTGCTCTTCGATCTCGCCCGGAGTTGGATCCTCCGGTGCTCTTATCTGGATGGGTTTCTCAACCTCATCAACTAATTCCAACTCATCATCTTCTTCCTGCCTCTCTGGACCAGGTCGGCCTGAATCCATAGAAGCATCTCCCCTTTCTCCTGCAGCATTCAACTCTGCAATGCCACAGCATTCCTTGGTCGGTTTATACCCTGGCTTTCTCAAGTAGAAATTGTACACTCCCTGCTCTTGATACACAGGGATCCAATTCCGCTGATCTGCAGCGCTCGCTTTCTCCAGGATCGCCTGAACAGCCTTTCCAACTTTGGACCCTTGCGGAATCAAGTTTCCGCCATTCACATCAAGAACTGCAATCCTTCCAAAGCCTAAGCACTTGGACGCTGAAATCAATGGCTTGTGAACATCGGCCATTGAACCTTTCACACGGCATTTGTTGCCGCTCTCGTCGAACCCCTCAAAGGTTCCAATGCCCTGACTGGGCACCAACTCTCCTGATGCAGTCTTGAAAACAACCCCGTTGCCTTCACTGACAACCACTCAGTCCTCCCAGCCATTTGGGATGGCTGTCTGGGCTGCTCCAGTGTCCAGGTTAAACTTCATCCATTCTTCGGCGGATGAAGCATCCGCTATTCCAATTCCACTCAAGTCTGCCATGAGCATTCCGACATCTGCTTCCGGAGCTGGCTCAATGCCATCATCCGGATCGTCCATCTCTTCCATACTTCCTGCGGCTTTACCTTTGCCGCCTTTTCCACCTTTGCCTTTACTGCCTTTGCCACCTTTGCCACTCCTGTCTCCTTTGCCTGAACCTGACCATTTATCGCCTTTTCCATCCGGCTGTTTCTTGCTCCAGCAATCGGCCGCTCGGTGTCCCTTCTTACCACAATTGTAGCAGGTGATATCTTGAGCCGGGTTTGAGCCTTTACTTGAGCCTCCTTTGCTTGAGCCTTTCTTTCCATCGCCTTTGGCCTGTTTACCTTTTCCTTTACCTTTTCCTTTGACTAGGCTTGCAATCCATTGTCCGATCGAATCGACGTCCATGGGTTGAGGTCCTTGGTAACTGGAACTCGATGAACCTGGTTTTGGAACAGATGACTTCGACGTGAGAGATGATTCGATAACAAGTTCAATTTCTTGTTTGATGAGTGCGTAGGTTGTTAGTCTACTTTTGTTCAACAGGAGGTGTTTTTCCAAGTCTGGTGGAACAAGCATCTCTAACGAGGCGGACTTTATGTCGTCCGATAGAGTCTCCCTTGTCCCTGCGGCACTCCTTCGGGATTCGTACCGCCTGATGAGTTCTTCGAGCTGTTCAATCGCTGGCCTCACCGCGGCCCACGTTTTGACTCGTTCAGGTTGGAGAATTGCTCGAAGTATATTGCGTTTCCGTCCCGAGGTTCGGGGATCCCAACGACGGTGAACCCGTCGATATGCTTCAAATCCATTTGAAGCTCCTACCATCAAATCCTCTGTTTCACCTGAGGTCAGGGTCAGGAGGACGCGATGAATTTGATCCGCTTTATCCTCTAGATCATCGATGGCTGCTATGGTACCAGTCCCAAACGCGGACTCCATGGCACTCATTTCAATCGCGTCTTCCTGCTCCAAGATGTACTCAAGAACTGAAATGAATTCTCTCCCAAAAGTGGTTATGAACAGGTTGTCAATGCTCCTGGCCCACTTTCGGAAATCCCCTTCAACATTCCCAAAACTCTCAGGGCGTCCCAAACCTTTGGTGTCCATAAGTATTTGGGACTTTCGTCTATCTTCCTTTTTCTCAAGGCTCTTAGCCAGTTCTCCCACTGCTGAAGCCAACATCGACACCCCACCTTGGGATTCTCTCAATACCTGGTTCTCTTGTTCCAAACGTGCCTGGTTTTGCTGGAGTTGCAAAACCATATCAGACAACTGTTGGATCTGCTGTTCCAATGCCATGGTTTCCCAATCTCAACCCTGAAGGCGCTGCTCTCGCATTCAGCGGCGGACGGTTCGTCCGGTCTCCGGCCCCTTACCAGGCCGGTCCAAGGGCTTTCACCCTTGGGACAGGTCAGACGGAGATTCTGGGCTCTCACGGGCCTCTGAAGCGGCCCGGGCTCCTGCGGAGGTCAACTCCACCGGATTGCGGCCGATCTGAAGTCGGCGAGCCGGTGGTGGCCCGTCCGGAGATCTAGGCCGCCGGACCGGTGGCGGTCCGTCCGGAGATCGAGGCCGCCTCACCGGACTGCAGCTCCTCTCCTTCAGTCTCACGGAAGTCTCTTCTTCCGATGGGCTCTCCTCCTCTTCTTCTTCCTTTTCTTCGGCTGTATCAGCCGTTTCACTCCTCTTCTGAGCCTTTCGCTTTGCGCTCTCCTTGCGCCTCTCTTGATTGCGGATCTTTTGTTCTTTCCGCTCTAACTCGATTTCCTCCTTTGGGCGCTCTTTGCCAAACTCTTTGATCCTCCTTTGCAGGTCTTCTGTAATAACACCCTGCTTCTTCTGCAACCTCACCAAGTCCTTGAGCTTCCGATACTGAAGCGAAACTTTGCTTCGAAGTCGGAATCCGGACTGTGGTTCTGGGTGCTTCTTGACTTGGCCCCAAATCTGTTTCTTCACCTGCTTCCTCCAAGGTGCTTTGGGATCGACTTTGGCTGGGGTATAGTTGGCGTGAATGCCACGAACTTCCCAACCTGTCTTGATACCCTCTGGGGATGTGATGAAGTCGGCGATAACTCGGCCAGATGACGGCTGTGCGGCTGGATCAGCCGCTTCAGCCCCTGGCTCAACTGTTGGATCTTGTTCAGGCTCTTCTTCTTCTCCTGGTCCTTCTGTGCCTTTTGTGTTTTCCTTTTCTTCTTTTGTTTCTGCGGTCTTTTCAACCGCTGAAGTTGTTTCGGCGGTCTTCTCAACCGCTGGAGTGGTGTTTGCGGCTGGATCCGCCGCTGATGTGGCTGGCAAAGGCTCTTTCTCCTCCTCCTCTTTTTCTTTCCTTTCTTCTCCCGTTCCACTCGGGGCGGCAGAAGCTGCCGCTCCCGAGATCCCAGCTCCTCCTCCTCGGAGCTCTCGACTTTACTGTGTCTTTCTTCCTTTATGCGCAGCGCTTTGTCCCTGTCACTTTCACCGGACTCGTGCGCTACCATGAAAACGAGGTTTCGACGTTTCGGAACGCCTTTTCACCTTGAGCCAAAATACGTCATGAGTCACGTGTCTGCAGTACTCAAGCGGAGTATTTATGGGCTGTACATGCAAACATAAAGAAGTATATATATATATATATGGGTTTATCGATACCAAGTTCCCTGCAAACTTCCAATTCTGACGATCGGACGCTTGCATCGCTCGATCATACAATTGGGTGTGGAGCCCTTTACTTTGATAGACCGTAGCCCTCTTTTGGGGGTAGCAGGTCGACACGTCCACCCTATAGAGTATCCTCGGTTTTGACATCCACGTGGTCCATTCATGGTGGTTCAACCTTGCAGATTTTCCCGCTTCACACAGTGAATGGCAACTCTCAGCAAGCAACTCCTTGTCCTTCCCAAGGCAGCTGCAGGTGTCTCCCATGGAATCAAAGGCAGGGGTACGGGTTAAGGTACGGTACTGGAAAGTACAGTGGTACGCAAACAGTTCTAAGTTGGGGCGTGGGATAGCCATTGCAGGACACGGATAGTCTTTAGGCATGGAGCGAGGTATTCAAATGAAATGCAGGTGGCAAAAGAACACTTTCGTGTAATCCAAGACTTGATGGCCTTGATGCTGTATGGCCTTGATGCTGTTGCAAAGGAGCGCAAGCATGTTCTGGTTTGATTGGATAGTATAATGGCAACCTAGCTGGGTGCTGCATGAATGACATTTGGTTTGAACCGCAACTTAGATTTAGATCGTATTCACATGTCCCCACGTGTCAATCAACAGTGAACAAGCACTTCCCCTTCCAAATTAAGAACACGCGCGTCAACCTACAGTATATAAACCTCATTCAACTTGAGGGCCATGCCAACAAAAAACAATAGACATGTGGCAAGTTTGATTCCTGTTGGTGAAGCGTACCTCGTCAAGTATTCAAGGACCAATAGACTTACAGATTATGATTCCTATGCCCTTGTGCTCTTGTCCTGCACCCTGAAAAAAAGGTGGTCCTCTCATACTTCAACTCCCTGGTCAGATTCCTTATCAATTTGAAACACCTTACACTTCCTTTGGCCTGATAGCTGCCCTGGTTTGCAAACCCCACATTGTATCCTGTGGTAGTCTATAATTAGACCTGTTCTGATAGACATGTACTTTGCACCAATACCCCGTACCCTGTACCTGTACCCATTGTCATCCAAAAACAACGCAATGGTCAGAAAAAAAACATGGCAAGAACATCGCTATTTGGAGGCCACCGCTTCTAGGTTGGAGGCCACCGCTTCTAGGTTGGAGGTCATCGCTATTCGGCTGGAAGCAGCACCTCTTTTTTCCATATTTTTCCATGAGAATCCAACCCTTCTGGCTGTCTCTACCAGCTCGCTGCGCTCATCCGCTCGCGAGCTCCTGTGGCGCGTCTCACTCGCGCGCAGGTAGGTTGGAGGCCATCGCTACTAGGTTCTTTTTGCTATGAGGTTGGAGGCCATCACTCTTAATCATGTTGAAGGCACGTTTCGGAGGATCCCAAATACCCTTCAGGTCTGTTCCAAAAATTGATGTCCTTGCCTCCGTGAATCTACACAGCTAGGGAAGCCATTCCACCTCCTCCCTGACCGATACCTTCATTCTGTTCATGACCAATATTCATCATGATTCCTGTGATTCTTTTTCTTTCCCTTTGCGACAAAATGTCCATCCCGGACAACACATCCCTGCGTTCATTCTCTCTCTGTTTCGATCCAAATTCTCCTGGCAAACATCCATGCCACTGCTGCAGCACTCGCCTCCCAGTGACGAACAAAGCTGAGACCTATCACCAAACCAACAAAAAGGAATTTGGTGCCTCAAAACTCAGGCTCTTCTCGGCTTGGTGCCTTTTCGGTTTTGCATGGATGGCTGATTTGCGTGACTCCATCAAATATACTTCTCCAACCTTTCCATGGGGCACTGTCGACCTGGACAAAGTAAATCGGAGCAAAGCGCCAAACGTCGTAGGAGCTACAAGACAGCTATTGAAAGGTCTTTGGTCGATCTTGGGCATCAGTACCTCTTGCTATTGAAGAACGCATCTTGCAACGTCTTTCTGTGACTTCTTTTTGCGACCTGTCTTTCCAGCGTTTTTCGTTCCTTTTTTCTTGTCTATCCCTTCCTCTAGCTTCAAATAGCCCTCTTAATATCCAAAAGGCCCGGCGGCCGGGCCAAAGAAAAACGCCGGTCTCGTACCTCCGAACGAATCCACCCTATTCCACCCTCTCCGAAGAACGTGCCTAGCCAGCTCACAGAGTTCTCCACAGGGCTCCAGCGGGTCTCAACACCGGTGCCTCAGCGGACGACCAACACCGCGTGCACGTGCCGCACGCGCCGCATGCGCCGTGGTCGTGACCACGTCATGTGGAACTCATGGAAGTGGACGAACAAAGCATCCAAAGCATCCATGGTTGCCAGTCGGAAGATATAGCCTCTAAGTAGGATCCTCTCTATCCCATCCAGCGTGCTGGAAACGACTTCCTTTCCCTCCCTCTCTCGTTTGGTCACCTTCTGCATCTGATGCTTTTTCGTGGGCCATCTTTTCATGGTGAAATCTACCATCCACGAATCCAGCATTGCCCATACGGATTCACATCAAAGTGTAAATCAAATAAAGCTCAGCTCCATCCCTTGAATTGCACGAATCCCAAACTCCTATGTCTAGTTACCAAGACTTCAGGTCACATGGTTGGTCAAAAGGCTTTAGCGAGTTCTATCTCCATCCACCATCCATCTTGACTCGACCATCCCTCGAATGCTCATGACAGTGTTTATCTCCACAAAAGTACTGTTGGTAGACAAAAGACATCATTACAAAGTAGGTTGATCAGCCAAAAAGGACTATGACTATATATGACTATAGAAGTACAGTGGCACTTTTCCCGCCACGTGACCCGTCCGCTCTTCGACAAACGATCGAGCGGTCGCCCAGTGGCAGCTCCCCTGATCAATGGCTTCCTTGATGGCCTAGCAGTCAAAAACCACCGTGAATAAGGCATCGCTACTAGGACGCTACGAACGGAACAAAGGGCATCGCTACGTTCGTAACAAGGTTCGCTACATTCCTCGGTTCTAGCGAGGTAGACCGATCCACAACGACCCAATGGCGCTCCTTAACAGCATGGAATGGCGTCAAGATGACTTGTTCGACTTTTACTCTAGGGCCTAGGCCTTACTACAAGGAGCAAGGACGCTACTAGGGGCTCCTGGCATCGCTACTAGTAACAAGAAGCTACTAGGTAGGAGCAACGGGCATCGCTACTAGGAGCAAGGCCGCTACCGAACAGTGCAATGCACTGCTCCTGCTACACATGCTGGGGGGCCCACATGCTCATTCCCACAAAAGATGACCACGTGGCTGTACCCCATCCCGGAATTCATCACGGCCTCCAACCTAGTAGGGATGGCCTCCAACCAAATAGCGATGGCCTCCAACCTAAGAGCGATGGCCTCCAATGGTTCGACCAAATCACTGCGCACTTCTGCTGTGGCTGGGCAGTAGGGCACTGGTCACCGGTCAAGAAAAACGACTCTTGGGGCTCTCCCGTCCGAGGACCAATTGCTCCGCACTGCGGCCGCACCGGACACGAGGAACGAAAACCACGACACAAAACCAAAAGCATGTGTTTCCTTCAAAAATTGAAAGATTCTTTGATAAGACCATAAATCTAATAGGAATGGCCTCCAACCTACTAGCGACCGCCTCCAACCAAATGGTGTCTTCGGCACCTTGTGGGTGTCCGCTTGCCACCACTGGATCTCGGAGGTGCAATTCGTGCTATGGAATTGACCACCTGCGCGTTCCCGGTCACGGCGACGAGCGTTTGGACGAGATCCGGCTCTATCAAAGGAGTGCTGGAGTGACTCCAGTGGCATGTTCATTCTTGGTCTTCTAGGAGGCTCTTGCAAAGTGTTGTGAGGCAGTTTGCTGTACTGACCAATCCAACAGGTGACCACATGATGTTAAAGTAAATCCCTCGATATAGATAACTTGGAAGTCAGCTCTTTTCGATGTCGATTCCGATTGGGCTTCTGAGACACGTCTCTCGGATAGGGCTCCATTCTGCTTGGGCGTAAAATGCTGCCAGGGACTTGTAGTTCCAGGGATGCAGGTGAATGCAGGCGGATGCAGGCGGATGCCAGCTTTCAATCAGTCCCCGGGCGGATGCTGCTCATTCCCGCCTGCAGTCGCGCAAGAAGCCTCTGTCTCACATTGGCACCAGCTGTGTTCGTACTTGCAGCCCTGAGCTCCATGGACACACCCAAGACCTCTCCTCCGATGGACACTTCAGGACTGAAGGATGAAGGTCCTGTTTTCCAAACAACTATGTCCGCAGGGAGGTGTGGTTTTCATGGCGCGGGGCATTCTTAGAACTTGGATTCAAAACAATTTGCGAATTGGCGAGGTTCTTATTAGGTTGCAGGCCATGGAAAAGGTTGGAGGCTTTGTTGCTCACATTTCTCTCGGCCAAAGTCGTGTTCTTCTCAAACTCGAGCTCGTATCTCGTGGAACACTATGCACTAAGTAATTCCACATGTCTTCCAGTTTTCGCAAGATTCCCCAAGTCAAGTTTTGAAAAAAAAAAACAAACACTGGAAGGTCCGCTCCTCGTCCTTCGTTTGGAGACCCCAAACCCAGTAAACCGGACCACCAACGGAGCACATGCACGTCTTTCCGTCCAAGGGGCGGAGGCGATGCACGCCGATTCCTCGGGGCTCGGGTACACGTTGCACCAGCTGTAGCGGACTTTGGTCGCCAAAAAGTCCTGGACACGGCCAGAGGACACGGCCCGAGTGTCTGCGCAGGACAAGTTGCCTCTACAAGGACAGGAAGATAAGGATGAAAGACAGAAAACAAAGAAACAACGTAAAGAGAAGAAGACGATCCACCACAAAGTTGGGAGGTATGATTGTCTCCGTAGGTACCACGCCCATTGAAACGATCTTAATTAACCCCAGGCACAAGACAATGGGCGGGTCAAACACTTGCAAGCCAACAACAAGAAACAGAAGCAAAAACATCAATGGCGTGGCAGTGCCGTCACATTATGCTTTTCCCCTCAAAGACCCCACCCACATCGTAGTAGCGTCCTTGCTCCTGGGAGCTTCTGACACGAACCGAAACGACGCGGGTTCCTTTGGGTACCAGGAGCTTCTTGCTCCAAGTCGCAATGGCCTCCAACCGAAGAGCAATGGCCTCCACCAAGGAGCTTCTAGCTACTGGTAGCTTCTTGCACCGGTTTCTTTTGGAACCGAAACCTTTGCGGCGCCGCGGCTCACGCGCTGGCTCGAGAGCGGCTCTCCAGCAAAGAGCTCTCGCGACGATGCGATCCTCGTGGCGCTTGCAGGGCGTCATGGGCTCCACGTCGTGATCGCATAAGGTCGAGGGGAAGTTGCCTCGGTTGAGGGACGCGGTGGGAAGTGCCTCCAACCTGTTCAGGTGGAGCGGGGAGAGATGTTTTGTTCGCTCCTTTCCACTGAAAGCAACGTCAACGAGAAACAGAGACTCCGCAAATTTCCCCATGTCCAATGATCCAAATGATCAAGTAGCTACTAGGAACAAGGTTCGCTAAGAACAATAGTAGCCTAGCTCTATTGTGATCTCATTTCTCCATCACCATCTCCATCAGGTCGGGTTGCTGCAGCAGGTGCTCGCCAACCAGACCTGGTCCTGGTTCCGGCGTGACAGTTGGCTCCAACGCAAAGTTCGAAGTTCTATGCCTCTATTCAGGTTGGTATCCTACATTCCGCTACATGCTCCCAGACAGCTACCACTCTTTCTGCTTCGTTCGGATCCTCCGAGGCCCCAGGCGTAACGCGCAGCGCGACGCCGAGCGCGGTTCCTCCGCCCGAACCCAGCCATCGATGACTTGGTCCACGCAGGTGCCGTTGCCCTCGGCCCACTGCAGCACCTTGTGCTGTTCCGGCCTGGTCAGGGTGCGAAGGCAGGGCAGCAGGGCCCCGGGAACATGACGTGAGGCTTCCATGTTCTGTGAGGTTGTAGCGTCTCCCTTCCAAAGTTGATGGCGCACCCCACGCAACTCACTCCTGGTGCCACGCAACGGTCGAGGGTCCAGTCCATCCGTTCCAAAACACAAGACCATGGCCGGTGTGGTGGTCTCATTCCGCCGATGGCGAAGCACAAGGTCTTTCTTGTAAGTCGAACTTTGGGATTTCTATTTTGGGAAAGCCCAGGTGTCTCTCGGAAAAGCTGCAGTGGGGAAGCCCAGTGAGTCCACACCCCACACAACATGCAGCCAACTGCGGTCAAGTAGCGCCACATCCGATCACTCCGGTGAAAAACATCCAGCGGTGGTCCGTGGCAGAAAGTCACTGGATTGCTCTGTTCGAAGCAATTCCTCCTATCCTAGTAGTAATGCCCTTGTTCCTAGTAGCAAGAATGCTCCTAATAGCGATGCCAGGAGCCCCGTTCGTAGCGTCCTTGCTTCGTTCGTAGCATTCCTTTTCAGACATCCTTTCGGACCCATCCGCACCACGTCCAAAACGAAGAGAAGAGAAGATGAGAGAACGCCGATAGGCCAGTCTCACGTGGCCGATACCTCGATGACACCAAGCGGTGGCTCGACGGAACAGAACTGCGCCTCCAGTAGTCATCAATTTCCTTCCTTGGATTTGCACGTGGAAAACACCGTGAAGAAAACGCTCTCACTTTGGGAAAACCTTCTGCTAAAAGGAAGACATCGATTTCGGGGTCTTCTGGTTGGTCTTCCTTGAGCGAGTCTGCTCCAGCTCGACTGGGAAAGAGGAGTCGGCTTCGAGGACTGCTCGACTGATCTCCCCGAGTCAAACGTCATCTTTCAAAGCCACAAAAAGCCAACCTGTTCCGGTACGCCCTAAACCATCTAAACCTGAAACCTTTTGGAACTAGCACACTCTCAAGATGGGACCCCAACAACCCATGCTTTGCCAGGCTTCCGACAGGTTTGTTCCATCCAGGTGCCTCCCACTGCTGCGCAGCCCGTCTCCGACCAGCAGTGGCACCTGCACACCGCCGTCCGGCCCAGCCGGCCGCGGACACCGACCCCGAACAGGGCTCCGATGAAGGGAGGGTCTCCGGATGCACTGGAAGAGACGGGGTTTGGTCCGCCAGGGAAAGACGGAAAGCATCGAAAGCATCTTGTTACTACTAGTAAGGCACCTGTTACTAGTAGCGTGGCACTTGTTACTACTAGCGTGGCACTTGTTTCTAATAGCTTGAAAGAAACCATGTGTATCAACCAGCGAAGGTATCTGGGGTGTCCTCCAGGTCAACCAGTTGTATTTGCTGTGTCTTTCGTCAGAGTCGAAGCACCGAGCTGACTGAGAAGAAAAAGGAGCTCCATGATACCAGGAGCACTGAGTCGAAGACTGTGATAAGAAAGAGCTTGAGGTTCTCCACTTCAAAGGTTTGCTTATACCTTTTGTGGATCTCTTGATACTCAGTGAGACTCCCCCACCAACCTCCTGTCACACACGAGGCAATCCATGAGCCACGACACCAGTGCTCATCACCCTGGCAATCTGTTTGAGCATTGCAAACCGTGGCCTCGGCAAACCAGTTGAGCGCGGTTTTGCCGGGGTGTGAGGGCGGTGTTTTCCGATACACATACCTTAACCTGCTGCTCATTAGAGGTGAGAACTTGGGGTTTTTGAGAACAACTCTTTCTCTTCTGGGACGAATTCGTCCACCACACTTCTACGAACTTGGAGAACAAGGTCGTTCTCTTCTGGGACGAGTTCCTCCAGCTGAGCATTGCTTAACTCAACGCCTCCTCCGATGGCATATGACACAGTAAAACGAGTCCCATGGCACGCAGAGTGGTGCTGCACGAGAGGAGCTTGAGGCTGAAGGAATCCAGGGCACACCAACCGTGGAAAATGACCGTTGCTTCCTTATCGCAAGTGGATTGTGTCCATAAAGCATCCTAACGCTGACCCTGAACTTGCTTTCTTTTATCCCAGGAACGCAATCATTGGATCTCTCCAACGTGATCACCTCCATCAACTGAAAAGTACATTCGTAGATACTCATCCAACGTGCAGATTGCGCGATCTGCATGGGTGCCTATTGACCCCAACCCACCATCTTCAATGGGGATGGCCATTTCCCGCACCGGATCAGCTTGGCGTCATTGGGCGTGAACTGGTAGTCAACGTGGCAGTAGGCCCAGATCACCTTGACACCCGTGACGCGAAGTGGTGGTAAACGGTGACGACGGGAAGACGACGCGACGCTGACGACGGGAAGACGAAGAAACGTGTCGTCTCTGCGAAATCAGAGAAGTTCTGTGATGGGTCGGTGGATGAGTCATTTGCCTCGGTTGTAGATCACCTCTCAGCTCATCAGTTTCGGTGAAAGGGGTGGAGGTGAGCTGAACATCCAAGTGTTCCATGCGCTACTAGGGGCTCCTGGCATCGCTACTAGGAGCATTCTTACTACTAGTAACAAGGTTCGCTACGAATGGGGCTCCTGGCCTTACTACTAGGAGCAAGGACGGTAGCTCACAAACTGCCGCAGCACAGCCCTCTGCGCGTCCAGTGCCGTCCCCAACACATCACCTGGTCTCTGGCCTGGTCTGGCAAGAAATCGCTGGTGTGCTGGCAGGGAGTCATTTTCCTGAGGTCGAAGTGATAGGTCGAGGGGTGACGGGTGGCGTGGATAGCAGGGGGAAGGATGGAACGATGACCCACACGACAAGGGAATGCCCATGGATTCTCACCCAGAGATGCTAGTCATCATAGTGAGGGTGATCGTTTTGTTTTTTCCGGATAGTGCATTTGGTCAACCAGTGTGTCTTTTTCACGCTTCCAGGTAATTCTGAGACTTCGGGGACCATAAGGCACTGTGTCCTCTTGCGCGTAGATCGAACATCTGCGACCAGAATCAGAACATGATCAAAGCTGATGGAAGCTGCAGAAAATACTCTTGGGCCAAGCTGTTGGCCAAACAGTCCAAGGTGGTCGTCCTAGAAAGAAGGAGCTACTAGTAGCTTCCTTGCTCCTAGTAGCGATGCCAGGAGCTCCTAGTAGCGTCCTTGTTCCTAGTAGTAAGGCCAGGAGCTCCTAGTAGCTTCTTGTTCCAAGCATCTTTGCCGTCTTATCGCAAACTGTGGCAGGAAAGCTAGCGCAGCACTTCTGCGCCGTGTAGGCGATCGCATCCTGCACGGCCTGGAGTTGGATGAGCTCACACGATAGATAGAGCTTCAATGAATTCAGCTTTGAAGACTTGTTCCGGTTCAAATGAGAGCTTACAGCATCTCATTTCAGGGTTGGGAGGTATTGTTTGGCGTTGCCTGTTTCAAGAAATCGTGAGGAGGCTGGCAGATGTTGGAAACATTCCATCCTCCACTTCTCAGGGAAATTTATTGTTGTTCTTGTTCCGTGTCTCTAACCTACGAAGTTCTTTTTCATTTGGCCGAGTACCATTTCTGATTCTGGTGAAATGGGGCAGCTGCTGACCAAGATTCGGAATGGATCCAACGCCTTAAATGATCCAAAATGCTCCAGCTATAAATACCTGGGATCGAATTCTTCCGCAGATCTGCCCAAATATCCCAGACCCAAAAACACTCTGCTGCGTCTCGCGCGGCGGCGCCCCCTACGCCTGACCGAGCATCGTGAGATCGGGGCATTGGGCCTTCCCCTCGTCGGCATCCTGAAGTGCCTCGACTCCACGGAACAAAAAGCTACGAACGGAGCAAGTGCATCGCTACTAGTGACAAGTGTGCCTTACTAGTAGTAACAAAAAGCTACGAACGGAGCAAAGGGCATCCCTACTAGAAGCAAGGACGCTACGAACGGGGCTCCTGGCTAGGAACAAGAAGCTACTACTAGGAACAAGAAGCTAATAGAAACAAGTGCCACGCTACTAGTGACAAGTGCCTTACTAGTAGTAACAAGAAGCTACTAGAAACAAGAAGCTACTATTGTCTGTTGCTTTTTTCTTTTAAGCCTCGACACCTCGGGACCGCGTGGGGCGTTGGAGTCACGCTGGGGGCGCCGTCCATGCGCCCCGTCGATCGAGCGATTGTTTCGGTCCACATCCGACGTGAAACGGACGGATTCTGGATGAATACGATCGAGCAGAAAGAGAACTTGGTGCAGCAAACAGGTCTATTCCTTTTTTCATGTGGCTTCAGACGTGTGATTCACAGCTCCAATCCCCCAAACTACCAAGACTTGACAAAAACGCATGCGTTTGATTGATTCTTCTAGTTGACTAATCTCATGTTTGTCAGTCACAGTTCTCTGCAGTGTTATGAAATACACTTGGGTGAAAGAACTAATTGCCGCCTGCGTGGAAGACGGGGCTCCGTTCAGTTACAACTCGTTTCAAGCTTCTCTCAGTTGTATAGTTCCAACAAGCATCAAGGCAATCAGTTTGGTTCCTACAAAACCATCGTCAAGCTCAAAACAGTGGGGCACCACCCAACGCGATTGAATGGGTTCATTTGGTGATTCACTATGTGTGTGAAGCAAATCAGTACAGTATAGAAATCTCCACCTTCGTCTGTGCGATTTCATCTGCATCTGTGCCCACAACCGCCGGTCGCGCCGTGCTTCCGGCGCTACCCGCGCGACCTGGGATCCCTCCACTGAGACCGCGCACCGAGAGGGCGCGCCAGGACGTGCTTCGTCGAACGAAGCTGACTGCCACTTGTTACCACCAAAATCCACCAAAAAACTCTGCGACGACGCCTCTTTTTTTTCGTCTTCCTCCCGGACGTCCACTCACTCTCCGATCCGCCAGGCCACTTTCATGGCTTCTGAACCCCAAGCAGCCACCTGCCAGGACCACCATCGGTTCATGTTGGAAGGTCGATGAAAAGATTGTGTGTCTTCGTGGTGTCACTTGTTACTACTAGCGTGGCACTTGTTTCTACGTTCGCTTCTTGTTACTAGTAAGGCACTTGTTACTGGTAGCGATGCACTGGTTTGTACCGCGACGTTGGTGATGGTCCTCCACAATGTTGTTTGCCAACGTTGCTGGAAAACTCTTTTGTGGCTGTTCTCTCTAGGGTGTGGAGCTGCTGGTTGCAAGATTGTCTGAACATATCCCAAGAAATACCTTTTGCAAACAAAGATTAAACAAAGGAAACCCTTGATTACTCCTTCCGGCAGCCCAAACACTCGGACGTGTAAATTGAATATGGTTCGCAACAAAGAAAGTAAATAAGGACATTTGAAGAACTGCAATTGATTTCTTGCTCAGTTTGGCATGGAACGCCATGGACGTCTTTTGTGGGGCACGTGCAATTTTCCCCCCAAAAAAGATCATGCAGCCCCCCCGCGGTGACCATTGCCTCAGGTCATGAAACAAGACATCTTACAATCCATGATTTGAAATACCCGTGAAATACCAGGAAACATGCATTCTCACATGCACCCCCACGCAACACCTCTCTTCCCGCAAAACGGTTCAAAAAAAGAACAACCCTCCCAACAAAGACGGTGCTTCCCGTCCCAACGTCCGAAGAGGTAGAGGCTTCCCTTCTCCACTATTCACTACGGGCCGATGTGCTTCGGGGGCCTCGTCAGAGCAGGTGTAGGGTTTCCACGTGCCCCCCAAGGCTTCACAGGGCGCCCGCTCACTGGGCGACGCGCGACGCTCCGCGCGCGGAGCGGTCGCAGTGGGTCCCGGGGGCGTCGGACCGAGCGGTGAAGTGGTTTGTGGTTTGGGGTCACTCTTTCAGCCGGTGAAGCTGCTTCCACTTGTTCCAGGTTGGATTGGAACTGGAAACATTTGGAGAGCTCTCCAAAATGCTAAGTGTTCAGTGATCTCCAAGCTTGGAGGATTCTCTAAACAGACCAGTCTAAGTTTGAAGAGTTCTCCAAACTTATCGGAAACACCGTTGAACAAAGATGTTTCGAAGCAAAAACATGAGCTTCATTGAGTTGAATGTTCAGGTTTAGCTTTGACTTTCGAGAATTCTCCACACGCAAGGTCTGAGTTTGGAGAATTCTCCAGACTGCACCTTGACCACTGTCGCCTTTCTGCGAAACTCGACGACACATCTGTCGACCTGATCATGGCGAGAGTTGTTTGGAGCGCCGAGTTTGGAGGCCAAGTCGTCGCAGTTGGTGTTCTTCCATGGCTGCGGAGTTGGCTGCTCAGAATCTCGTAGCCCTGGTTCGCAAACGAGCTCAGAATTGGAACGTTCTTGGTTTCTGGGTTTCGACCAAAATTCGAAACTTAGCACAAAACCGGCTCCATGTTTTCATCGACTCCACACGACTCCGCCGACTCCACACGGCAACCGCGTGGCTGGCAGTGGCAACCGCCGCCACTCTCGGTGCACTGGTGGGCAGTGCAAACATCCGTGGCGGGCGGGACCGACCTGGCGGGGGTGACCAAAGGACCCCAAAAAGGACCAAAGGCTGAGGCTTGGAGGCCATCATTAGCTAGAAGCTACGACCGGAGCAAAGGGCATCGCTACGAACGGAGCAAGGACACTACTAGAGGCTCCTGTACTACTAGGAGCAAGAACGCTACTAGTTAGCTAGAAGCTACTAGGTTGGAGGCCATCCCTACTAGGTTGGGGGCCATTGCTCTTAGGTTGGAGGCCATCGCTACTAGTAGTAGGTTGGGACCAAAGGCCAGCGAGGATTTGAAAAGGATGGTGCGAAGACCAGGAGTCACATGGCAGGGTGCCGAACTTGCAGGAAGTCGGGGTGCCCAGCTACTCCACTCACTTAGGGACTAAAAACCACCCCTTTGTGACTCCTGGGATATGTGTGTCGTAGATGGGAAGCGGGTGGCAATCCAGCGGTGTTGTTCGAGGTGCAACTTCATCGACCGATTGGCCATCGGTTAAGACACACTAGCCATGACCTCCAACCTAGTAGCTTCTTGTTCCTAGTTGCGTCCTTGTTACTAGTAGTAAGGCCAGGAGCCACTAGTAGCGCCCTTGCTACTAGTAGCGATGCCCTTTGCTCCTAGTAGCTTCTTGTTCCTAGTAAGGCCAGGAGCTACTAGTAGCTTCTTGCTACTAGTAGCGATGGCCTCCACCCTAGTAGCGATGTCCTCCAACCTAATAGAGAAACAGGTATGCCATTGACACCATTCTAGCTGACCTTGAAATGTGTCTGGGTCCAAAGCCACGACAAAAAGGAATTGGAAAAGATGCCTTCACTCTGGTCTCGTGAAGGATGCGTTTCTTACCCAGGAAGGGTTGGGATTCTTCCCCGGGTTCAAGCCACAAGCCTCCGCACCCCAAACGGGGTTGAATCGCGTGCTTGGCATGGATCAAGAAATGACCGGAAGACCCACCAAAGAGAGCCTGTACTTCTTTCTCTTTTCTCAAGAAAAGCAAGTCTTGGTGTCTTTCCCGTGGGTCACGAGCGCAATTCATGGATTTTCCTGGATTCCAACCTAAGAGCGATGGCCTTCTAGCAGCATCCTTGCTCCGTTCGTAGCGATGCCAGGAGCTACTAACAGCTTCTTGCTCCTAGTAGTAGTAGTAGTAGTAGTAGTAGTAGTAGTAAGGCCAGTTTCGCCCCGTTTGTAGCGTCCAATCGCTCCGTTCGAAATGCCCCACCTGAAGTCGCAGAATCCTCCTGGCAACTCCTTGTCCTTCAAGAAGTCCTGTTCGTCCTTGCAAGGCCTCGAGACACGCCACGACCGACGCGCGGTCGGTCGCTTCTGGGCATCGCGCGCGCGGTCGGTCGCTTCGGACGTCCAAAGTGCCGGTACAGTGCATTACCTATACTACGTATAACTAATTGGAAAGGATTCACTACTCGATCTACGTATTCTTTTGGGGGTCACCATGCCAATACTATGCCAATATACATTGTATATCATTGTATACAGGCTACAGTATAGTATACGCCATTCTTTTTCTACTTATCTTCTCTCATGCCGTTCCCATGCAGCACCTTTCAACAGGCCCTCAAACGGCTAACGGTTGAGTGTCATACCACCCGGCTGCCCTACCCCTTTCTCGGAGCGGCGTCATCTTCCTGGCGTCCTTGTCGCAGAGGGTCGCAGGATACGAAGCGCAGCAGTGCCTCGGCGGCCCACCGCGGTGGGCCGTGGCGAAGACCGGTGGTGGAAGGTGTTCGAACTCACCAATGCCTGGGCCCACCCACACTTGTTCAAAGAAAGGGTGTGCCTCAAAAATGTAGGACGTATAGTACGAAGAAAAAAAGACACACATCAACTGCGGTGGTGTTTGCTTGCTGAAGAAGACCCCATATGCCTTGCATCAGAAGGGAGAATCCCGAAGGCCCAGAGGAGCAAGGACGCTACTAGGGGCTCCTGGCATCGCTACGAACGGAGCAAAGGATGCTACTACGTCGTTTCAGGGGTGCCCAACATGTACTTAGTATTAGATAGATCTTTCTTCAAGAACTCATCCACGAACCTCACCCTCCGCAACCGCTCTGAACACCACCTTGCTCTCGCTCTCGCCAAGCAGAAACACCTCCCGCCTGGCAAAGTGGTCTGTGGCATCCTTCACCGTGAGGCCGTTCAGGTCCCCATCGCAGCTGTCCGTGTCCCGGGCAATCTTCATGGCTTCGTGCCAACCTCGGACAGGACAGGACAGGACAGTCGCAAACATGGCTTGTGCGCTCCGGTGACATGTCACGCCAAGCGAAGACAAGGGAATGGATGTGTGTGGATGTGGATGTGTATAAATTGTATAAATCCTGAGAGGCACCTTTTGGTGAAACAATGGATACGGCCTTTTTTGCGGATCTGTTGGATGAAGGGCTGACACCAAAGAGAGGGAACTTCTGGCTGATTCCCTCCAATGCGACGGGGCATCGGCGGTGGGTGCCGCAGAAAGCCATCCGAATGCGAGGGTGGCACGACACGTGTGTCACTGATACCTCTGTTCAGCCTGTTCCACACCTGGATCCAACGAACCAAACCCTCAGAGAGAGAGAGAGAGAGAACACACGGCACACCACCGAACGGACCGGCTCCTGCGTTTCCACCGATGGGGCGATAAGACCATTCGGCCATGGATGTCCTTCACAGGATCTTTCGCAAAGAAAGGTTTTTGCCACAGACCCAAATGTAGGTGGCTTGTAATCATGGACGGGGCACCAAGCTGCCAAAATTCACGTGGATTCTCCACAGGTGGCCCAAATCCTACGAAGAAGAAACCTGAAGTGCACAACCCTCCTATTTGTAGAGGAAACACCTATTCCAAGGGCAAACAGTTGCATTTCAATGGTTGCTTTTCAGGGGTGTACATCCCATGTATACCTTTAGATAACAAGGACTTGGGCGACCAAAGGGCAGCTACTATAGTAGGTTGGAGGCCATCGCTACTAGGTTGGACGCCATCCCTGGTAGGTTGGAGGCTATCGCTTCTAGGTTGGAGGCCATCCCTAGTAGGTTGGTGGCCATCGCTAGTAGGTTGGAGGCCATCCCTGGTAGGTTGGAGGCCATCGCCAGTAGGTTGGAGGCCATCGCTAGTAGGTTGGTGGCCATCGCTTCTAGGTCGGAGGCAATTGCTCTTAGGTTGGAGGCCATCACTCTTAAGTTGGAGGCCCAACGGCAGGTCCATGCCAACCAAGTCACCAGGACTTTGCCATTTTACCTCATCTGCACAGCTGTTGCTCCTCCAAATAGCCCCAGCCGCCTCACCTGAGATCTCAGGCTGCATGGCAACCCAGGCCGGGTGGGGAATGGCGCTTTCCTTTACCACTCCAACCTGTCAAATGGAACTAAGTGTGATCTAAAGATAGAAAACCGCTACGAACGGAGCAAGGACGCTACGAACGGGGCCCCTGGCATCGCTACTAGGAGCAAAGGACGCTACGAACGGGGCTCCTGGCCGTAGTACTAGGAACAAGGGACGCAGACAGTCTTCTCACTGTAACTTCAACCAGGTTTATCCTTTTGGATCCATCGGCACTGTGGCAGATGCGGAATCCGAGGCTTTGCCAAGACAGGGGCACCCACCGCTTCCACCGATCTACCTGTCAATTTATCGATATGTGCATCTGTCTGCCTGCTTTTTGCTTCTAAATCCATTCATCTGTCCATCTATCCACCAAGTGATCTGAATGCAGCGAAGTCTGTCAGATCTGTTACAGTTCCGTTCGTTCGAGAAATGGAAGCAAAAACACAATTCCTGCTGCATAAGAGCTGGGTTTCGGTTTCTAAACGGTGTTGCAGGGGTGCGTTTGATTGCCAGTGTTTTTTCGGGTACAAATGGTGACGTGGTAAGAGGAAACCAGGGATCACATGGTGAGTGTCTAGACATTCTCTCATTCTGAAGTATTGATCTAGCATGTGAACGGATCATGGACAACGGACATGCTGTAAAGCAACAACAATGCAAAAAAAAATACAAAAAAACACCCACAGCACGCACGTCATCATGGCACGAGTAATATGAGGCACGTCTTCACCAAAGAAAGGTCGCACCGGAACTTCCACCCCCGGCTCTGCCGAAGAATTATCTGTAAAGCATCTGATTGGCGACTGATGTTTGTGGAGGCTTCTCATTTCAGGTAACCCCATACGGACCACATAGCTTTGAACATGCTTGCTCTCGTACACAGAGAGTGACCCTTTCAGAAGCGCTTTCTTGAAAATATGGAGTCTGCCTGAGGGGCAAGTATCTTAAGAATCTATGATCAAAGGAAGTTTAGCGTGCAAAACTTCCGTGTTACGGACATTCAACAGCTGTTCAACCACCACT